GTACAAGTGCCTAAGGGACACAGGGAAGGTACTTGGGTGCTAGCGAGTGCTGCTGCACCTGCCCTGCTACTTGTGGCAGAAGAGCCATGCTCCTCCTCTGCTTCTTCCTTCAGATTTGGATTCTGTTCTGGCTCCAGCCAGGGGTGGGGTCCAGCAAGAAGGGGAACACGAAGCCAGCAGGCACTGAATCAGCAAGCCTGTGTAAAGCTGTCACTATCACCTCATTTTGTCCTCCCCCTATAGAAGGCTGATGCCTGCCTGACAGGAGCAAAAACCAGAAGCTCTTGACTAGTGACACCTGCTCTGGAGGTAGTTTTCCTGGAGCCACCCAGCTGTGGCAGGTAGGGGCTCTCTAGGGGCAACAACGCTGGTTTTGCTCCACTGTCACCTACAAGGGGATGTCCACTTTTGGCTCACTTCCATGGGCATCTCAATCCTGTGCTTTATCAAGCACGCTTGATGTTTTAGGGACACAGGGTAGAGTTTTCCTCTCAGGAGCTCACAGCCGGTCACTTGGGTGCTTTGGAAAATTGTCCTCATTGTGCCTGTGGGGACAGCTATTCAAACTCGCTCTGTTCTATATGCCAACAGCTTAATGACACCCAAAGCAAAGCCAATGCTGAAAAGTACAGGCTTAACATGGGAACAGCTTGTGCTGTGGCTGCAGGTTAGTGCAGGGCTGTGGGGGACTCTAGTGGCTGCTCAACATAACTTCAGGCAAAGCTGCACTGCCAGGCTCCTTAAAGACGTCTACCAGTCTCTCATCCTTCACTGTACGTTGAAGGCAAACATCACTGCACTTCTCCACTGAACCGTGCTCCCCAACAGTTCACAGCTCCTTCCCCTGGCAGACAGCAATTCTAGTGCAACTACGAGACATGAGTGTTCATGTGACACTGGCGTCCCTCCTCTTACGTGGCAGAACGAGGTTACTGGCACCAGGGCTCTTGAAGGCAGTGCTCACGCCTGCTTCTGTAGCACCTGGAAGACAACACACCCGTTACTGTAAAATAGTTCACCATGTCCTCTAGGCTAAGGATAGACGCTCTGCATTTAAGTCAATTAGACCTCTTGAAAACTTTACCCTAGATTTATATTGTGTTACTGAGGCATCCAAGTAAGGCTGCGGGGCTGGCATTCACAGTAGCAATTGTGCTGTTGAGATTTAGCCGGGTGGGTGCTATCAACAACTCCACCTTTGGCTCTTCCTAGTTGCAGATAGCTTGAAGTCAGTCTTCAGACACCAGAACCACCTTGGTGGGCAGTGTGCGCTTGCTGAACAAGGTAAGAGTCAAGACAGAGCTGGAGGCAATGATTTGTTTGAAAGTTTATTGAAAAATGCAATACAAGAAGCAATATTGAACACTTAGGTCTGTCTAAACACTACAGCAATTTTTTCTTTGATTTACTATAAAAGTCCAAAATAACAGCTCCTGTGATTTACTATTCAAACTATAAAGATTTGCCAATTTTATTCTGTTGCAATATTTCCTATTTTTGTAAAGAAAAAAATGTAAACAGCTATTCTAGACAATTCACCATTGTCTTAAAAATTTTACAAAGCTCCTTCATATTTGCAACTAAAGAGAGATTAAACTTGTAAAAAAAATACCCAAAAAAACAAACCCAAGGTTGGGACACTAACATCTTTTAAGGTAAATGTACATTGTATGAAGTCAGCAAAACCAGTTTATTAAAACCAGAAGTCTGTCAGGTCTCAATATAACTACTGCTGGGTGACTGTGGTCTGGCAAACAAAACTGCCTAGTCCAGTTTAATTTATTGACACAGGTCATGATGCTCCTTGCCACCTTTTCTATGAAAATGTTCATTCATATATATAAATAGCTTCCAAATAATACACACTATACATTCAAGACAGTCTCACACTGATTTTGTGAATTGGGAATAGCTGGGAACATTCATATTACTAATAGACCTTGTTTACTCATATTGATACCAGCAGTTCTGGTCCCCTGAAAATGCACAATTCACCACAAGTCAGATTTAAAGTAAATGCTGACCAACTTATGTTAGGGGGAAAATGAATAGCAGAAGAGGATACAGGCAACCCTGCAGCTGTTTCTGGCTAAGGTGGAAGAGATTGTTTCCAGTGTTAGCAGTAAGCAACTCAGAGGAGTATTGAGTGTGTTACTGAAAGCTCTAGGCTTCCCTGTTTCTCTGAAAAGCTAAACTGTTCCAGTCTGAGCAGTTTAAGGAACAATCAATGTCTTGGTTCAACTTCTGGCTTAGAAGAACATTTGACATGTAAAGTCTTGTCTATGAGACCCAGTGGAGTTAGGTAGGAATCCCTCTCCAGGTTACATAACAGGCTCTTGGAAGGTCAGTGCTATCCTATACTTTCAGAAGCCACTTTACTTTGGACTGACTTGCGCCCCTGCACAGCTGTGTGCTAGAGAAAGGGTGACTAGAAAAAACAAATGCTCACGTCTAAAGGGAACTGCATAAATGAGCAGCACAGCTAGTGGCTACCTGGAATCCAGCAAAAAGGCTACTCTGCTTTTTCAGTCCCCTCTGAGAAGCGACTCTACAGCCACAGTAAAAGCAGGCTGTGCGCAAGAAACACTTTCACTAATCCTTTTGGAAAGGAACAATTCTCTCACTAGCAAGTTCCTCCATCTGGGAAAGATCAAGAACTTTGCCTACCCTGATCGTTTTTATGCTGTTAATTCACACCACACCTAGTGTAAAAGCATTAGGTTGCAGTGGAGACAGTGTTTAGCGCTTCCTTCATTAGAGAAAGTGGCGTATCTAAACCCTTTCAACTACCAAATGCCTAAGCGTTATGGGAAGATAAACATTGGTAGCTCTAAACCCTATGAGGGAACCTGTCACAAGGAGCTCTTTAATGACTGCTGCACACTCCTGTGTATGGGGGTGACAGCAGAAGGGGATGCTGAAAGGGAACAAGCAAAAAAGGCAAGGAGCATCTCTGCAGACACTCTCCAAAAGCCAAGTTAGTAGCTGTAAAAAGGCTCCCTGACTAGTGCCGGTAAAGTTATGCAGTAGCTTGGCCAAGGCTGAGAAGAGATCAGAAGACAGGCAGTTAAAAGGATCTCTCCTGCAGGAAAAGGGGGGAGGGCTGCAGAGTGAGACTGACACAGAGGGTCTGTGACAACACCAGCTAGCCCTCAGACTTCAAAAGGGGCTGGAATAAGCTGTACCCGCCTGAGCTATGGAGAGGGCTTACTCCTGCAGGAAAAGGGGGGAGGGCTGCAGAGTGAGACTGACACAGAGGGTCTGTGACAACACCAGCTAGCCCTCAGACTTCAAAAGGGGCTGGAATAAGCTGTACCCGCCTGAGCTATGGAGAGGGCTTACACTTAAGCAGGATTCACATAAAGACCTTTAAGCCCTTTACTCCATGTGCTGTGTACCTCTGGGTGAATGAATTCATGCTCAGCACTGAATATATTGCTGCGTCCATGCCACTGCAAATATGTTCTGGCACAGGCTTCCAAGAACCACGCTCAGTGGGGTCTGTTAGGTTAATGCAGTTGCTAAATAGGAGGGTTGCAGCCTGTTTATCAACTGCACTGCTGCCACCCAGAGCAAGGGCAGAAAGCCAGAGCTAGCACCTCAGAGGCACACTCAGGAGGGACCAAGAAAGTACAGCTTGCCTTGTAGCTGTTCCATGTGGTAGCACCTGCCAGCAGGAAGGGACAGGCAGCATAGCTCAAACAAAGGAGCGACTTGCGTAGGAACCTGGATGCCGAGCCCTGTGAGGGCAGCCAAAGGCTGGGCTTATCAAGCAGTGGAGGACTCCAGCAGCTCCATAATTCTTCTAACAGAGAAGGCGTCTCCAGTCAATATTGGCAGCTTAATTAAAACTGCACCTGAATTAAGAAACATGGAGTGTGGGGACAGTGTGATTTTAAAGACTATTTCCAGCCAAGTGGTAATAGCTCAGCCTGAGCTAAACTCAATATCCTTTTTTAAAACACATTGTTCAAACTTTAAATAGCAGAAAGCTTTTATTGCCATTTTCTCCTCATCTTGGAATGAAGCTTTAGCAGCCACGGGCTCTGCACTGCCCTCATGACCACTGATGTGCCACACCAGATACAGAAGTACAACCTCAACACCCTATCTTTAAAAAAAAAAATACATATTGCTTGCAATTCTATGGGGATATTCTTTACAAAAAAAAATCCAACAAACACTTTAAAAACACTGCTGGAAGGAAAAACCAGGGCGTGATTAAGACATTTCTATTAAATACAGTAGCAGTGAAAAATCACCCCCAACTGCCATGAAATCAAGTGCACCCTACCCTAGGTAAAAAGTATTATTCCCTTATCTTTAAAGCCAGGACCACAAAGTGGCCAGTTCACAAATGTATAATTTCCATTCACGTGAATAGAAAATGCCAGTCATACCTGCCTCCCCATAATACACTGTATGTAATTATAATTTTTTTTAAAAGGTAAGTAGGTCACAGGCTGGGGAATAATTGACTACTGGAAACATGCTATAACTTTAGTGCCTTTCATGAATAATTGAATCCTGGAAACATGCTATAACTTTAGTGCCTTTCAGAAAGCAGGTGTGTCTTCTTGAACCAGACACTGAAAAGTGCAGGCTACTCTGGCCCTGGTATTTCATTCCAGTATGGCAGTAAAGGAGCTAAAGTATTACAGACACATCATTTAGAGAGTCGGGAGGGTGGTCAGTGCTTTGAACATTTCTACAGTTGCTTTGCAAACAGTTTGACTTTAGCAACCAACGAGAACAATCTACACCCATGAGGACAGCCTGTCCAAACACAGCTTACACATCTAAGGTAAGATTGTCTAAGGGACTTTAAATTAAGTTAAAATAGTGTGCACCCCCCTGCCCAGGCACAGGGGTAATGTGCTTAACTTTAAATAGTACTGGAAAAAACATGATTTACAAACTTAACACACAAACAAAAGGGGGGGGGGGGGGAAAGGGATGAACC